ACCCGAGTCTCACAATTTTGGATGCAGTTTGTCTTTTTTTTTCTGAATCCCCCACAGTACTTGTGGCATGATTAGTGATTAGCAGAGTTAGCTTTTTCAGAGATTATCCTTAGCAGCTACAGACTCTGGGCAAAGCAACATAGGAAGTAGCAGGAGTCTTGTACCAATACTGTGTCCATCATATTTGTTCAGTGAATGTCACAGCAATATGTGATAAAGACAGGTTTCCGGCATATTTTATGTCCTCAAATGATTTTGTTGCTATTTTCTGCATTTGGATTGGAGTGAGAAGGATGGCGTAAGAGTGTCTGTATAATATTTAAACATATTACTCTCTCTCTCTCTCTGTGTGTGCATGTAGTGTTCTTTAGGTTTATCAGAAACTAGCCAATTTCACTTTTTTCCATTGTCGTATTTGCGCTCACCACCTTGAACCCTAGAAAAAAAATGGCTTAATTTATTTCGGTGTCTTGGCTTGCATACATTTGTTGTCCAGTAGCGTGGGTTTGCTGCTAGCTACCATAACACAATGTGCTTTAAGGGTGAACACAGCAGTGGCCACACCCACTATGTTTTTAACCTCTTTAAAAATTATCTGCCTGTGAAGGTCATGGGTTCGCGCCTTGACGGAGCCGGACTTTTCTTCAAAATGACCTTGACTGCCAAGTCGAACCAGCCTTAAGTGGTGCAGTCTTAGGATTAAAGGCGGCTACCAAGTGGGGACTGGTCGATAAAAATATAAGTCTAGCCGTATATTCCCAATACGCCTAGAGGCGTGGAAAAGGGACTGTTACTCTACTCCCTGTATTCCCAATATGCCTAAAGGTGTGGATAAGGGATTGTTACTTTATTCCCCGTATTCCCAACATGCCTAAAGGTGTCGATAAGGGACTGTTACTCTACTCCCTATATTCCCAATATGCCTAAAGGTGTGAATAAGGGACCGTTACTTTACTCCCCGTATTCCCAATATGCCTAAAGGCATGGATAAGGGACCGTTACTCTACTCCCTATATTCCCAATATGCCTAAAGACGTGGATAAGGGATTGTTACTCTACTCCCTGTATTCCCAATATGCCTAAAGGCATGGATAAGGGACCATTACTCTACTCCCTGTATTCCCAATATGCCTAAAGGCATGGATAAGGGACCGTTACTCTACTCCCTGTATTCCTAATATGCCTTAAGACATCGATAAGGGACCGTTACTCTACTCCCTATATTCCCAATATGCCTAAAGACGTGGATAAGGGACCATTACTCTACTCCCTGTATTCCCAAAATGCCTAGAGGTGTGGATAAGGGCCCGTTACTCTACTCCCTATATTCCCAATATGCCTAGGTGTGGATAAGGGACCTTTACTTTACTCCCTATATTTCCAATACGCCTAGAGGCGTGGAAAAGGGACCATACTCTACTCCCTGTATTCCCAATATGCCTAAAGGTATGGGTAAGGGACTGTTACTTTACTCCCTGTATTCCCAATATGCCTAAAGGTATGGGTAAGGGACTGTTACTTTACTCCCTGTATTCCCAATATGCCTAAAGATGTGGGTAAGGGAGTTACTTTACTCCCTGTATTCCCAATATGCCTAAAGGTGTGGGTAAGGGACCGTTACTTTACTCCCTATATTCCCAATATGCCTAAAGGTGTGGATAAGGGACCTTTACTTTACTCCCTATATTTCCAATACGCCTAGAGGCGTGGAAAAGGGACCATATTCTACTCCCTATATTCCCAATATGCCTAAAGACGTGGATAAGGGATTGTTACTCTACTCCCCGTATTCCCAATATGCCTAAAGGCATGAATAAGGGACCATTACTCTACTCCCTGTATTCCCAATATGCCTAAAGGCATGGATAAGGGACCGTTACTCTACTCCCTGTATTCCTAATATGCCTTAAGACATCGATAAGGGACCGTTACTCTACTCCCTATATTCCCAATATGCCTAAAGACGTGGATAAGGCACCGTTACTCTACTCCCTGTATTCCCAAAATGCCTAGAGGTGTGGATAAGGGCCCGTTACTCTACTCCCTATATTCCCAATATGCCTAGGTGTGGATAAAGGACCGTTACTCTACTCCCTGTATTCCCAATATGCCTAAAGACGTGGATAAGGGCCCGTTACTCTACTCCCTGTATTCCTAAAATGCCTAAAGGCATAGATAAGGGACCGTTACTCTACTCCCCGTATTCCCAATATGCCTAAAGGCATGGATAAGGGACCGTTACTCTACTCCCTGTATTCCCAATATGCCTTAAGGCATCGATAAGGGACCGTTACTCTACTCCCTATATTCCCAATATGCCTAAAGACGTGGATAAGGGGCCGTTACTCTACTCCCTGTATTTCCAATATGCCTAGAGGTGTGGATAAGGGCCCGTTACTCTACTCCCTATATTCCCAATATGCCTAGAGGTGTGGATAAAGGACCGTTACTCTACTCCCTGTATTCCCAATATGCCTAAAGGCATGGATAAGGGCCTGTTACTCTACCTGTATTCCCAAAATGCCTAAAGGCATGGATAAGGGACCGTTACTCTACTCCCTATATGCCTAAAGGCATGGATAAGGGACCGTTACTCTACTCCCTGTATTCCCAATATGCTTAAAGGCTTGGATAAGGGACCGTTACTCTACTCCCTGTATTTCCAATATGCTCAAAGGCGTGGATAAGGGACCGCTACTCTACTCCCTATATTCCCAATATGAATGGAGGTGTGGATAAGGGATCGTTACTCTACTCCCTATATTCCCAATACGCCTAAAGGCATGGATAAGGGACCGTTACTTAACTTACTGACAGAAAAGGCAGAAGCCTAGCTGCACAGATACTTACAGAGTAGTTCTCAAAGAAGTTCTTGTAGCCACCCTCCAAAAGATAAATCTCCGGATAATGGAGGTATGGGTAGAACTCCTTGTTGGTCTCACGGTCTTGGCGACGCAAAAATCGAAACCTGAAAGATAGACAAGATACCAGATCCTTTCAGTAACCATTCATCTATAAGTACAGACAATCTTAAATATATATATACACACACACTTTTGATATATTAAAACAGCACTTTATAAAAGAATCAAATTTACATGCTCCTAACTCCTTCCAGGAGAATCCCCAGATAACGCAGCTTACCTGCATTTCTTTACTGATGTGTTTACGAGACTTCAAGATGCTGAGGAAGGCTTCCTAGCCACAACTTTCACTTGTCATTTGCGACTTTGATAATGTGAATCTTGACTAGTTCTACTTTCTGTCTGGTTTGTTATCTTTGTTATGAAACTAAAAATGGCATTTAGGGTCAAATGGTTATATTAACACAATGTTAATGTCGAATTTTCCCATAGCCTCTGTGTTAGGTCACAGGGTTGCCGAATGTGCCATCCTGAAATGTATTATATTTGATACTCCACTCTCTGTATATTGACTACTTCATTTGCATTCATTTAAAAATATAAAATTCAGCAAAAATTTTTAAAGTGTAGATATAGACAACAAAATTTCAACGTAACAGCGACCTATATAAAATCGTATTATTTTAGGAACTGCCATAGGCTTATGACCCAATTTTTTTTTAGTGTGAAAGGGTTAAAGGCAGTTTTACTGGGCTGCCTTAAAAAAATCAACTGTCATTTGTTATAATGTGAAGCTGACTATACTTATCAGAACTGTTATCTTATCTGGGTACAAAGGGACAGATATGTTGTCATGGTACTGTAACAAAGTGACTGATATGTTGTCATGGTACTGTAACAAAGTGACTGATATGTTGTCATGGTACTGTAACAAAGTGACTGATATTTTGTCATGGTACTGTAACAAAGTTATGGAGAATTCTGCCATGGTACTGTAAAAAAGTCAAGGAGAATCCTGTCATGGTACTGTAACAAAGTGACTGATATGTTGTCATGGTACTGTAACAGTGTCTGATTTGTTGTCATGATACTGTAACAAAGTTATGGAGAATCTTGTCATGGTACGGTAACAAAGTGACATATGTTGTCATGGTACGGTAACAAAGTGACTGACATGTTGTCATGGTACTGTCTGATACGCTGTCATGGTACTTTAACAAAGTGACTGATATGTTGTCATGGTACTGTAACAAAGTTATAAAGAATCTTGTCATGGTACGATAACAAAGTGACATATGTTGTCATGGTACGGTAACAAAGTGACTGACATGTCATGGTACGATAACAAAGTGACATATGTTTGGTATTGTACGGTAACAAAGTGACATATGTATTATTGTACGGTAACAAAGTGACATATGTTGTTATGGTACGGTAACAAAGTGACATATGTATTATTGTACGGTAACAAAGTGACATATGTTGTTATGGTACGGTAACAAAGTGACTGACATGTCATGGTACGATAACAAAGTGACATATGTTTGGTATTGTACGGTAACAAAGTGACATATGTATTATTGTACGGTAACAAAGTGACATATGTTGTTATGGTACGGTAACAAAGTGACTGATATGTTGTCATGGTACTGTAACAAAGTGACATATGTTGTCATGGAACTGTAACAAAGTGGCTGATATGTAGCCTTGGTAATGTAACAGTGTCTGATTTGTTGTCATGGTACTGAAACAAAGTGACATATGTTGTCATGGTACTGAAACAAAGTGACTGATATGTTGCCATGGTAATGTAACAGTGTCTGATTTGTTGCCATGATACGGTAACAAAGTGACATTTGTTTGGTATGGTACGGTAACAAAGTGACTGATATGTTGTCATGGTACTGTAACAAAGTGACTGATATGTTTCCATGGAACGGTAACAAAGTTACTGATATGTTGTCAAGGTACTTCAACAAAGTGACATTTGTTTGGTATGGTACGGTAACAAAGTGACTGATATGTTGTCATGGTACTGTAACAAAGTGACTGATATGTTTCCATGGAACGGTAACAAAGTTACTGATATGTTGTCAAGGTACTTTAACAAAGTGACGGATATGGAACAAGACTTACAGGCCTGGTCCTCTTTCTGATGAAAATTCACAGTGGAAGACTAGAATCATTCTCTTGCTGGGATCTTTAGAAAACAATGGCGTCTTGAGGTACTTCTCTATCACATCATCTTTTGTGTAAATGTTCAGTGCATTCTGTGAGTTAGATGGCAAAAAAGGAATAATTTAATACCCAACATAATATAATACATAAGAATATGGAAACTTTCATTTAACTGTATTTTTCTATGAAGTCAAAGTGCACCTGCAAAGAACTAACAGTCTGCAATACAAATAAACCAGATCTGTGAAATGGATGTGCACACAAAATTCAAATATGAAACAGGACCACTAAAGCAGAGAGAATCAATCTAAGAGACTACTGTTCTCTTGATATTATTAGTGGCTCTGCTGCATAAAGGTCATCAAGTTACACAGGGTTGTTAAGTTACATATTATCAAGTTTCACAAGGTCAAGTCACACATGGTCAAGTCACACATGGTCATCTCGTTATACAAGGTCAAGTTACACATGGTAAAATTACACAGGGTCAAGTTAGTTGAACAGGTGAAGTTAGTTGCCCTGGGTCAAGTTAGTTACACATGGTCAAGTTACATGTTTACTGCTGTCTATGGATGAGGGTTACAAACGCTGTTCATACTCCTGAATAAACTGGTTTGACTCAGCCATAGGCAGTTTGGTAGTAAGCCTTGCATTGATTTTGGCACTGATATGGGGTGTCAACTGTTCTGAAAGCAATGGCAAACTATTAAAGGCGAAATTATCTTGAAAAAAAATATAAAAGCCCCCCAAAATACCAGAGCTACTATGAAAAACCAAAATAAATTAGAAAGAAGGAGAAAAATAAATAAATCCACCGACCTGTATATGTCCTCCCTGGTACTCATATGGATAACGGCAATCAATTATATGATACTCTTCAATGATATCAGAAAACTCATTCGCCATCAGTCGACTCAGCTGAATTAAAGAAACAAAGTAGATTATGACAAAATTATAAAGCGGAACACTAGTTATACTGCAATGATTGAAAACAAAAAAAACTAGTAAACTACCACCATCAAAGTAGGTCCTTTACATGTATAAAATGTCGCGCTCTTCACAGCACACCTGAAAGTCTCTTTTTAGCTATTTTATCAGCCCTATGTGCTTTTATAGCCTATGCCTCTTCAAAACCTTGTATCCACCTTTTAATGAATGAATGAATCAAGATCAGACATCACTGCATTTGGAACATTTCCACACGTGCTCGTCCTCTCTGTGCCCTAATTAATGTCCGTCTCTGTTTCCCCTTCAATGCTGAATATCTGCCAGAACCTCCAATCACACTCTGTTGAAATAAGTCTTTTTGTGTATGGATTCCCTACCTGTTTATTTGCACTCTCCATCTGACTCTATAGAGCCTATATATGCGCTTCATCATAAAGTAGCTCACCACCTAAAGGAGCGGCAGCTGCTAATCTATCAGCCTGCTCATTACCTCATACACCTGAATATCTTGAAAATCCATGATATACTTTTAAAGTGGGTCTTATCAATTGGTGCAAGCCAGTCTGATCGCACGACACCAGTTACAATTTTCTGAAGCATGCTCTGTGAGTCGGTAACAATCACACAACATGTCAAGCTGTGCTGTTCTCAAGCCACTGGGAAGCTGCCGTTACCGCCTCCACCTTCATTCTCATACTGGATGTAGTTGACACTAAAACTCAAGGCTGTTTTCAAGTAGCGTCCATTCACCTTTGCAATGAAACTCCAGCAACTCTTTCTACCTCTCGCCATATAGTAAAGGAAAGTCCCTTTTTCACGCCTTTAGGTGTAATAGGAATATGGAAAGAGCACCCATATTTTTTACAGACCAATCAGGACTAGGTGGGTTATGTGGTCAGCATTATGCCGGCAGTCTTTACTTCCCAAGGACACACATCCTGGTACCCATTTTAGGCTGGATCGACCTGCAACACCCCATAATATGATAAAAATCCACACAGCCAGCAGTGGGTTTCAATCGCCGTGCGTTGGAATTACGAATCGGACTCACAAAGCCAAAACCACGGGCGCCACCTCTCACCATATACACAGCGGTATATATTTTGATGTCACCTGGGCGTAAATTGATCAGCTCTTGTACCGCTGTCTGTTTCATCATCTATCCATTCCCAGCACCCTCGGTCCAAGGTGACTATCACCCTGTGCAATTCTTTTTTTGTTGGGTGGCACTCTAACCCATTCTTTACCGTACACTATCTTGTCAGATAGCGCTGTCGTCTTGTCAGATAGCGCTGTCGTCTTGTCAGATAGCGCTGTCGTCTTGTCAGATAGCGCTGTCGTCTTGTCAGATAGCGCTGTCGTCTTGTCAGACAGCGCTGTCGTCTTGTCAGACAGCGCTGTCGACTTGTCAGATAGCGCTGTCGTCTTGTCAGATAGCGCTGTCGTCTTGTCAGATAGCGCTGTCATCTTGTCAGATAGCGCTGTCGTCTTGTCAGATAGCGCTGTCGTCTTGTCAGATAGCGCTGTCGTCTTGTCAGATAGCGCTGTCTTGTCAGATAGCGCTGTCGTCTTGTCAGATAGCGCTGTCGTCTTTTCAGATAGCGCTGTCTTGTCAGATAGCGCTGTCTTGTCAGATAACACTAGCAATTCTGATCCTGACTTCTGCCTGTGCCATCCAAGAGCTACCTCTTTTTAGTCGCTGCCTCATGCTATCCCCTAAGGTCTTTTGCAGAAGATGTTCGTGTCCATTGCGACTTTAAGGTCCATTTGTGCCTATAAAACCCTGTGTCTCCCGTACACAGATAGTAATGCAAGTGTGTACTGCATTCACACCGCTGGCGTGTCTAATGTACATCCCAAAATGACTTGTATGGCTTCGATTCTGTATGCGTTTCAACTTCTCTATTTGGGTACAAGATAAATGTTAGCAGTTCAATACCCTACTTCATCACCAAAATGATCAGTTGCTGGCAGAGTGTGTAGAGCATTTTCTGTTACATGTCTACTGCTGCCATCATCTTAAAGCACAGTTCTTTCCCTATCTTTACCTCTTCCACAAGGTATTTGAAATACAAGCACAGTTCTTTCCCTATCTTTACCTCTTCCACAAGGTATTTGAAATACAAGCACAGTTCTTTCCCTATCTTTACCTCTTCCACAAGGTATTTGAAATACAGATTCCTGTCAAAAGTAAGTCCTGGATATTTAGTGAACTATGTCTTTATATTACTGCCGTTTATTGTGATGTCTGGCAACACATTTTTAACAATTCTATTATTATAAAAAAAAACCACATTACCGCTGCCTTATCTGGGTTAATGACGGAGCCTGCTCCCTCACACCACTCACCTATGAACTGCAGTACTCTAGATATTACTGTTCTATTGCTTCTCTTTGTGTAGACTAAGACATCCGCGGCAGAAGTAAGATTCTCCCTACACCCACTGTCTCTATTGCCACTGTCCTGTTTGTGTATACATTGAAATCTAGTGGGGAAATGGCGGAACCCTGTGGGAGGCCAGGTGAGATACAATATAGTTGAGAACTCCATGAGCCTAGGTGAAAGGCAGTCTGCGGTTCATTCATACAGGACTGCTGCAACCCAAGGACTGACCTCCATATCCATAAGTGTGTACAAATGGTGTTCATATCTAACCTTGTATCCACTTTTGAGGAATTCTGTCTACCTTGTTTTCTGGAAAGAACCCACCATCACCAGGCCACTATAACACTCAATATGGCCAAAATACTTTAGCTTTCGTAGCAGAATGCTGTTCAATGTTCAGATCTTCTAGTATGGTATCTTTCAAAGTATAAGTATACTGGAAATCATAGGGATCAGTCAACACTTTAAAAAAAAAAGTTAAGAAAAGAATATTTCTTGCGTGTGTGCAGGAGACTCATTTTGAGGTGAGGGAGGAGGTGATCCCTTCACAAGCATGTCATAAAAAGCAAAAATTTAGGGCTTTGCTGATATCGGATGCGTTGTGTTGAAATGTGCAGATACGGCAGTCTAGCTGTAAACCACAACATATCTACCACTCTTTTAAGGGTTTATTAAGGAGAAGAGAGAAAAGTCTTACCGTTTCGGGTGTGATGGACTTCAGATCTTGATGCTTCCCGCTGACAGTTGGCAGACAGTACGCCTGCAAATATACACAGAAACAAATTACAGTCCATTCATGACAACACAAAAAATTATACACATCAATAAAGTTCAGTCCCCTTACAAATATTCTTACCAACTCTTTGCTATCAGTGTCAAACATGGACACTGTCTTCAGAAGACAGAAGGAAAATAGGACGGAAATAAAAAAACATACGTATCACACTTGTTGTAACAAGGAAAGATCGACTTAAGAACGATGATATCAGAAAGAGTTGACACAGAACCAATAGTGAACTTCATAGGTAAACAAAAAATGTAATGGTTTGGCCAGGTAAAAGATTGCCATCAGATAGGAGAAAGATTGCCATCAGATAGGGCACCACAGAGAGCAATGTTATATAAATAACAGATAATGAACAGAGCCAGAGGTCAACCACGCAGAAGAAACACTGAAAAGTGCTTTACATGAAGCAAACAGAAGGGCCCATTTCAGAATGAATCAGATGAGGAAGTGCAATAACAAATGTAAAATAAAGATAAAAAATCTCCAAGGTCAGAACAACCATCCATCAAGCACATTTAAGTTGTACATGCAAACAAACAAGATTGACCTATGTGCACCGCCCTCAGCAGATGGTCAGTCAGAGTGGGCCAGATAGGATACAAATCTGGGGCAGAGAGGTAGATTCTCTAATCTTTTAAAGTTTTATAACAATGAAGCTCTATCGTCTACCACTGAGCCCATACAGTAATGAAGTTGTGCTATAAAATTAGCAGATGATGAAGACTGGCTGGCAGCTGATAGTAACTTTGAGCAAACATTTTGTCATTAAGAACTGGTTGATTCTACAGGAATTGGTTGTGTCTGTAAAAACTGCATAACATGAACTGACACTCTTGTGTTTCTGGGACTCTTTGACTGAGACAGAACAGCAGTGCTGTATACATGTTGTAAGAGGTCTTCTTTCTTTCTTCTTCATGTTCACTGGCTGTAAACTCCGGCGGAAAGTTCTAGTTGTTCATCCATCTCTGGACTTTGTTATAAAACCTGAGGTTTTAACAGACCTGACTCAGTTGTATGCAGATTGTTGGTTCCTTGTCTTTCGGGTAGATGCACTTTGACTTCAAAGAAAGCTTCCAATTAGTTGTCACTTGCTGGGGAGGCAGTGGGTCTATTCTTGTATTTTCCACAATCGGACCCCCAAACCCACATGGGGAGTAGTAAGGTGGGTTTTTTCTCCTTAGTCTTCACCCACTTCAAACTCAGGAAGTGCTGTTTTTTTTTTTTTTTTTGGCCCACTTCTGGACTTCAGTCTTGTTTCAGAACTTTACTGTTTTGTTTGCATTTTACAGATCTGGATAGAGACTGTTGGTTCCTCGACTCTCTGGCGCACTGTAACTTTAAGGGAAACATCCCTAATCAGCTGACTTAAACCACATGCTTCTTAGAGGAGCAGTGGTTCTTTAACCCTTTCGCTGCTATGGACGTCTTTTCCCGATTTCCCGTACGCTGCTACGCCCGTCTTTGGACGTTAATTTTTTTCTTGACCCCCAGTGCTATGGACGTCCTAAGCCGTTTTTGGACTTTTCTTACAGATTTCTGTTACCTCGTATTTTATTGGCTGAAGGGCAATATACATTAGCTATATTTAGATAAAACTGACCCATTTACATATGATTAAAAGCACTGGCACGTACTTTTAGGCGTGTTAAAGGTGTGTTTACTGCATTTTGCGTTATCCCGTTGCTTTGTTTACCGTGACAGCGTGGTCGGTGATCTGTGTATTTTGTGCCCTGATATATATTTGTGCTTTTGGATTATTTTACACTTAGTACAAAATGGCAAGAAAACTTGTTAAAGTTGAAGAATTGATGGAGTTTCTGTCAAAAGTGATAGCGACGATGACTTTGAAATGTGTACTTCTGACAGTGAACAAGAAGATTTGACTAGGCCATCAGTATCGACTGCTGAAACTGGCGTGTCCAAAAAAAGCTGTTTGCCTGTCCGACATCCTCATCGTCGGAATCAGAGAGCAGCGACAATGAAGCGCCACCAAAACGGCAATAAATTGATCAGTTATCTTGATGAACCGATGATTTGAAACCAGTAGTGCATGATTTTGATGACTCCAGCTCTATCTGTATTTCTGCTACTGTAAATTCAAACAGTTAAGTCACTAAAATTTCTCGTCTTTCCCGATGGACAGACACAGATTCGGACGAACTAATTTTTTTTCTCTGTCTGTCTGCTAATGCTTAGAATGCTTTTTTTTTGTAAATTTTCCTTTGAGTTCCTGCTACTTTTCAGCAACGGACGACTTGAGTATTATTATGAATATTTTTTTAAAAATTATTTTGGTATGTAATAACATGTTGACTACAAGTAAATATGATTAAAGTGGCAGCCGTGGTAGGTTCGTCAATCAAATTTTGGGATACGTACTGGGAACAGTTCCTCCCATTAATTTCCCCCCCCCCCCCACCCAAGGGTGATAGCTCCGTTAGTTAAGTTTGTGGGGCACCATCGTGCCTCTGACTTGTCACCACTCGGACCAACCACACAACTCCCCAGGGTAAAAAATTTTTAGGTGTACAAAACATAGCCCTCACCGTGGACGCATCTTTTGCGTTTAGAGGATAGAAAAGTATTGCGCACAGCAGAGACTTTTTTTTTTCACATTGCTTAGCACAGGGAGGACAACTATTTCCGGGAACGTAGCAGCGAAAGGGTTAAGAAGGAAAAAAAAATTGTTTTTTTACAATTTTTACAAAGATAAGAATTAGGCATTAATCAATTAAGCATTAGCTTTTTAACCTTTGAACAGTCTCCGATAAGGTCCGGTTCTGATAGCATCCGTGAAACAGCTGACTTGATTGCTTCAGTTTCTGAATGGCTTCTCTGGAAGCGACGTACATTCATCTAAACAAAGAATTTTAAAGGGGAAAAAATTAAAGTTAATGACACTTCAACTGATAAAAGACATCTCACTGTTCACTTATGCTTGTGTCCACCCAGACATGGACAGGTATATTAAAGTATCATCAATACATGGTTTAGGATGCAGGAAATTATGGAAAGTGCACAAATATAAGCAAAGTTAAGAGAATTAACGTCAGTATTATTGTCTAGAAGTGATCATGATGTGATCAAGTGCCTTGCCAGCTGGCGTAAGTGTTCAAACAACTCCACAGATCTTGGTCTTTGGTGTTCTGGATCAATTCCACTGAGGATATTCCTCCATGCCACTGTCTTAAGCCTCCACTATCATTTCTCTTGGTCTACCATTGCCTCTTCTACCAGTGATTAGATAGGGACAGGCTGTTGAATAAAGAACTGCAGCATGTGTGAACAGCAGGGCTTCTAGCTGTGAACATTCCCTCACTACACCAGGGCTTCTAGCTGTGAACATTCACTTACAACACCAGGGCTTCTAGCTGTGAACATTCACTTACAACACCAGGGCTTCTAGCTGTGAACATTCACTTACAACACCAGGGCTTCTAGCTGTGAACATTCACTTACAACACCAGGGCTTCTAGCTGTGAACATTCACTTACAACACCAGGGCTTCTAGCTGTGAACATTCATTTACAAAAAACGTATGGACTCAGAGACACCCCCCCCCCTCCCCCCAGAACCATTATTCAGATCTCTATATTTTAAATTTACATTCGTTATATAAAACTGTTAGGGCAAGTCGTTTTTGCTGATTTAATTTAACAGTAAAAAGGGAAATCCTTAGAGGGACAAAATATTGCAGGGAACAGAGAAAGAAAGTGGGAGGTCACAGGAGTAAAGATCTTTCACTGTGGTTGGCGCAAAGATATTTCTTATCAACAAGTCCAAAACAACATTTTAAAAAAAAAGCAACAAGAAATCAAAAAAATTAGTTAGTTAGTTAGTTGGGTTATCGTCATTGCACTCCGGACATGTCCATAGGTGCTCAGATCCTCCCCTCAGTATGAAACCCAATGTCCGATGGCTAATAGTACCAGTTCTATGTTGATTAACAAGTCTTCTGGCGTGTCTGGTGTGCGTCTCGTTTTTTGCTGTACCGATCTTAATTCCCAAGTCTGCCATTCTGGCGAGTGATGTGGATTCACTGCCACCAAAGTCCTCTATCCTTCCCATTTCTCTGAGGGCATTGATAATATCAGCATGATCCATAGGCTGATCGTCGGTAGTGATAGCGGATCCAGCCAACCTGTCAGCTCTTTCATTTCCATCGACGCCTGCGTGTCCCGGAACAAAAATAAAGGTGACTCCACGCACAGTGGACTTCTGTAATGATTCAAGCCATTGTCTTCGCACTGAACCTGCCTGAACCCTCCGGATCATACTCATTGAATCACTGAGTATACACACGTGGGTGTATTTTTGTGTTTCAAGCCAGGCAAGCGCTTGCGTCACTGCCATCACCTCCATCGTCATGCTGCTGGTTGTCATGGAGAAGGCGCCGTTGGCTTCTTTGACTGTTCTGCCCGCTGAGCGTGCTGTAAATGCCCATGCGCTTCTTCTTTGGCGTATAACGGATCCGTCTGTATAGATTATTGCATCTGCTTCGTCCGAATTTTCACAGATGAGAGCGTTGACCTCTGCATTAACAGCAACAGGATTCTCTCCTCTACATCGCCTGTTGAGTGTGACAATACAGGAAAATGTACAAATAAACGCCTGAGGCACAGGTATCTATTCTGCACCATGTATGATGTCGGTTAGGCTGCATATTTGCCTAATAACATCTTCTGCCCGACCTAGCCACGATTTCCCCCTCTTCAGTCTGTCGCCCTTTTCACTAAAAAGCGCTTGATGCAGTGGGTGTTTCTTATCAGCACATATTTTGAGATATGCCCGAGCCCTCCATATCCTGATCCTTTGGTTCATTGTTGGAAAGTCAAGTAGATACCTCATTGCTCCACAGGATGTGTCTCTTGTACATCCCAAAATAATGCGCATGGCTTCATTTTGCACCTTTTCGAGTCGTTCAATCTGGGTAGCACTGACAGTGAGGATGGCCAGAGCGTATTCAATGGGGAAAAGGACCAGACCAAAGAATAGAAGTATTAGTAGTCTTTGCTCAATATTGGAAGCAGCCATAGTCCTCATTGCAGATAGACCTTTGCGTGCTTTTGTTATCACATGGTCAACGTGTTCCCTGAATGACAAGCTGCGATCGAACCTCAACCCGAGAAACGTCATAACGTTGGTTCTGATCAATACATTATCACGCATTTTCACTTCTGGTAAGTCCGACTTGAACCATGTCACTGATGCCTTCGAAGGATTGACATAGGCATTGGAACCATCACACCAGGCGGCAATTCGATCGAGTTCTTTGTGCATAGTGCTGGCGATCTCCTGTATCACGCCCTCGTCGATAAATCAAAATGTCATCAGCAAATGACAAAGTCCTTCCCTTTCCATTCAACTGCTGCTCAGTGATCATCACCGTATAAACGTTGAATAAGACTGGTGATAGCGGTGATCCCTGTGGCAAGCCTGGACATATCGTTTGCGGTTCTGAGGACTAGCTACCACATCTTAGTACTAACTTTCTCTGGAACAGGACCGCAGCAATCCAGCGGATCAGAATAGGATTACCTTCTAGTTTAAGCAGTAATTGCATTAAATAATCATATGGTACTTTATTGTAGGCATCTTCTAAGTCCAACACTGCCGCACATGTCTCTTCTTTAATCTGAAATCCCTCTTACACATCGTAGGCGAAAACTGCAGCATTGAACCATGTCTCTTTATTTAACCTGTATCCTCCAAGTGTTGGTGGGAACTTATCATGTAGTTCCAAGTAGGTGGTCAATCTTTGTGCGACAATTTTTTTCAAAAGTTTGCCAACAGTATTCTGCATCGAGATGATTCTATAGCCGCAGATCTTTGAGTGGTCTTTATTAGGCTTTGGTAGTGGGAACAAATAACTATGGAGCCATTCCTCTTGTATCTGGCCACTCTGGATGCTGATATTGAATTCCTTTGCCACGCTTTTCAAATCAGCATTCGACATCATCAGCATGTCGTTGTATCGGATGCCGTCAGGGCCTGGAGCAGTGCTGCGCGATTTCTTAAGGCAAGTTCTTAAGGTATCTGCAGTGATTGTGAGATCAGTGCCTAGCACAGTGTTCTCGCACAGCATCGACAGTTTCATCTTAACCCCTATTCTTGTAGCTACGTCTTTTTGGTCAGTTTGCTCCAAGTAGCGCGCCAGAAGGGTTTTTCCTTTATCAGCATCAGTTCTCTGCCATATCAGGTCTGCACGCTGAAAATCAGGGATACCCCTTGGTCGTGCGGCGCCGTGCATGCTCCGTTGAAGGCGCCAGAATGTCACAAGAGATCCCTCGGAGCAAACGCTCTTGCAGAATTCGTTCCATTTCGCTGTCTTAGCTTCCTTCGCAATTAACCTGAAAGCCACTGTCTGCTTGTTGACCTCATCTTTCAGACTGATCAGGCGTTCAGAAAGTGACGGATCAATTTTCCTTGCCTTTTGCCATGCCTTGACAGCTTTCCTTTTTTCTAGCCACGCCATGTTTACTTCATTCCACCATGGTGGCTGGGCCCATCTCTCCCGCCGTCTGCAATCTGCTCTTGTTTTACGTCGTCGGATTTTGCTAATGGCATCTTGCCCTGTACGGTCATATAAAAGCAGGCACATTGATTACATGACCTTTGTTGTTGCTCTTCTCTACCAGGACGACGCAAGGAAAGTGATCACTGTCGTGGTATCCCAGTGTGCTCCACCTGCATCCTGATGCAATAGAGGGAGACACTAGGGCCAGGTCAATTACGCTGTCAGAATCCCCTTGTCGTGTTGCCATTCGGGTAACCTTTCCGTCGTTCAAGCATACTAGATCGGCAGACAATAGGGCATCCTCCAGGTCTTCCCCCTGTTTATTAGTGATTACATTGCCCCACTGGTTACCTCTGGCGTTGAAATCTCCGCAGTAAAGGACTTTCTTTTCCTCCGTCTGGAGCAAACTCTGCCATTTCGCTGTATCCACCTTTCCATTGCAGGCGTACACATTGACAATCACAAACTGGGCCGGGCCCATCACTCTGACTACGTGTACTTGTAAGTCGTTATTATTCCACTTAGACATGTCCACCTCAGACACCGGTATGTGGTCACGAACAAGAATGAGCTGTCCGAGGTGCCGTCTATTGTAGAAGGATTGGAAGCCCGCGATTTTAACGATCGTCACCGAGGTGTGTTTCCTGTAGGACAACAATGTCGCTGTAGAGGAGCTTCTCAAAAATGGGTCGCCATTGACTGAACGAAGCGCAGTTCCAGTAGAGAACACGAACATACTTTAAACTGAGTCTCTCACATTTCAGTCGCTTCCTGCAGGCACCACCGTGCTTGCCTGTTCGCGTTCTCCTTGTCCGTCTACGGGTTGTTTTGAATTGGTAAATAGTCGCCATCGGACGTCGAATACACCCTGAGGGAAGTAACTCACGTGCATGTACTCCATTGCACGGTTCAAACCCCATTCCGATAAAACTTCCACATTATACGTGAGCGAAAATAGCTAATTTGCACCATTCGCCTCAACGGACGAAAAAGCATACCGCCATTGTGGCTGTTTACACCGGAAGTCAAATCAAATAAATGTGCAGGGACAGTGATGCGGCAATGTGTTTTACACCCAGCTCTAATGTCTTTCGCACTGGAAAACATTAACAATATCTAAAACTATGTATCTGCCTAAAATAGTTTTGTGTTTGCTTTCAAGTTTGCAGAGTTCCTTTTCTACCCGCACCACCAACGTGTCTTTTGCTTTCGGAGGATAACAATGTATTCAGCATAGGAGATATGGTCAGCATTGACCTTGTTTAGCACAGTGGTACATTGTGTGGTGTGTAGCAGCAAATAGGTTAAATGGAATAAATATATGATTAGGCCGCAAACAAAATGATTGTGATTACCGTTTTGTTGTTCTCCTCATGGCACACACTAGAAGTGGAACTTTCTTCTCCCTTCCATCTTTTATACTGCACCGGAGTTGAGTCATCAGAAGATGGCTCACATCGTTTTGAGGACGGGCGAGTTCGGTTGTCCATGGACATCGATCTGTAGAGACCACGTCTGGAAATATGTGGTCGACTCTAAAACCAAACCAAACCAAAACAATAAACTTTTAAATTGATGCAAGATGAATTAGGATACATAGAATGTGAACATAGACTAGTGAACAAAGAAATTTCATGGAAAATGCAACCTCTTTAGAATATGTTTTGCGTAAAAAGTGAATAATGTATTATCGTCATCAAATGCTAGGTTCTTTATAGAATGTCCACTCATACAGCAAGACAGAAAGTCTCTTTCTCTAGCTAGTTCTCCAGCCTTATGTGCTTCCATAGCCAGTCCTTCAATGTCTTGTATCCGCCTTCACAGAGGTCAGCTTCTCCTCATTTCCCAGCAACTTTACAATCCATCCCCTCTTTCCTAGGCCACGATGATGTTCAATTTACAGCCAAAATACCTCAGCTATCAGGCCAGGTTGCTGTTAATGAGTCCGTTCATAACGTACAACGTACTTATTTCACATTATGTAAATGATTTGAAGAATAAAACCTTTCCAGGGCTGATTTTTCTATAGAGAATAAGATTTAACACCATTTTCCTGATGCTTCTCTTGTGTGAAAAGACAATATTTTCTTGAAATGGTGTCAGGGCTGTACTCCCAAAGACAGAACAAGAGATAAAATGGTCAGCTTTGTGTCAGAGGCTTAACCTCTCCCAGTAAGAAATTTCCCTAACTGTAATTAGTAGTTAACTTGTTTCACACATGGCCTAACGCTGCCCAGGCTTGTGCTCTTGGATAACTTCATCCTTGGCTTTAGCTGATCACCAGACTGTACTTCTGATGCCTTCCACTCAACCAGAGCACGATTTAACAATTTCGCTGGAAGAATAGAAAGGTGCCAACCAACCAACCAATTAATTGGATTAAGTAAAAAAGTCGACAGACAATTATTATGGAAAGTAATGGCAAGATATGGAGTAAGCGAACACCTCATCGAAGTGTGCAAAAGTTTATACAGGGATTGTAGAAGTGTAGTTAGAATAAATCAGGGAACATCTCATCCATTCACAGTAACATCTGGAGTAAGACAGGGGTGTGTCTTATCACCACTGCTGTTTATCACATCCATGAATAAAGAATGTAAAACAAATAATATGAGAATCAACACTGAAAAGACAGAAGTAATGTCAATAGGAAAAACGAAAACAGATCTAAACATAGCATTAAACAGGCATCTGAGTTTAAATATCTGGGAACTACATTTACCGAAGATGGGAAATTGGATAAAGAAATTAACGTTAGATGCAGTAAAGCAAACCAAGTATTGGGACAGCTAGCCCCCCTCTTACAGCATAAGACAATCCCAATCAGCACAAAGCATATTTATTCCACCTCTGTGCTACCAGTGCCAGACATGGTCACCCACAACAAACCATAAAAGAAAATTAGTAACCATGGAAATGAGATGTCTGAGAAAGGCTGTAGGAGTGACCATGAGAGATAAGATCAGGAATGAGATCATAAGAGAAAAAGTTGGCACAGAACCAATTCTAAATTACATACAAAGACAGCAGGTGAAATGGTTTGCCCACTTACAGAGAATGCCTTGTGACACCATACCATACAAAGCATACATGGAAAGAGAAGAAGGTCGTAGAGCAAGAGGTAGACCAAGAACAAGATGGAAGGATAACATCAGAGAAGCTCTACAACAGCACGATGTGCCTATGGTCGAGGCGGCCAGAAAAGCCAGAAACAGAACCTTATATCTCCCTCGACACCCACAGCGGTAAAAGAGGAAGTGAAGAAGAAGAAGTAAATCAAAGCAGCGGGGTTAAATTTATCAGAGAAAAAAATATACCACTCACAGAGGGGGTATCATTTTCTTTACAAATGGCGAGAGCCCGTGTTCTTTTGAAAGCCTTTTGCCTATCTTCTATAGAAACCTCCTCTGGCTTATCTTCATCTGCCCGGTGAAAGAGGGTAGCACTTATCAGGGAGGAGACCTTGGCATCAGCTTCATGGTCCATCTGAACAGGTTATAAAAATATTGTTAAAAAGCATAACAAAAAATTACAGTACATGTAAACTGGTAACATTTGACAAACAGCATAAACTCAATGTTAAATTTTAATCCAACATTTATCTAAACACAAGGGATTAGTTTACAATCATTCAATGCTCAAACAGAATAGAGGGAATCAGCTAACAGTTTTCTAATCCAAACAGTCATTTACATGAGGTGAAAATTAAACTTGTGTTCTCTCCATACCTTTATTTCTTTTGTCAACTGTCAAAAACTGTTCATGGAATACAAAACTCGTGTTTAGTGTGTTCAGCTAGTAAACTTATATCACAGAGTTGAGAAAAAAAAGTAGTTTTCTGTTCAATAAGTAAACTTACATCCCTGAGATGACAAAAAAAGTTCTCTGTTCAGCAAGTTAACTTTGATCATTGGCTGAAAGAGAAGTTCTTGATTTATCTATAAATAAACTTAGATGACTGGTTGAAAAAAAGAGAAACTGTTTCAATGAGTAAACTTAGATGACTGGTTGAAAAAAAGAGAAACTGTTTCAATGAGTAAACTGAGTTCACTGAGTTGAAAGAGAAGTTATATGTTTGTTCACTAAGTAAACTGAGTTCACTGAGTTGAAAGAGAAGTTATATGTTTGTTCACTAAGTAAACTGAGTTCACTGAGTTGAAAGAGAAGTTATATGTTTGTTCACTAAGTAAACTGAGTTCACTGAGTTGAAAGAGTAGTCTTATGTTTGTTCACTAAGTAAACTGAGTTCACTGAGTTGAAAGAGAAGTTATATGTTTGTTCACTGAGTTCACTGAGTTGAAAGAGTAGTCTTATGTTTGTTCACTAAGTAAACTGAGTTCACTGAGTTGAAAGAGTAGTCTTATGTTTGTTCACTAAGTAAACTTAGTTCACTGAGTTGAAAGAGTAGTCTTGTGTTTGTTCAGTAAGTAAACTTAGTTCACTGAGTTGAAAGAGTAGTCTTATGTTTGTTCAGTAAGTAAACTTACATCAGTGAGTTGAAAGAGAAGTTTTGTTCAGTAAGTAAACTTACATCAGTGAGTTGAAAGAGAAGTTTTGTTCAGTAAGTAAACTTACATCAGTGAGTTGAAAGAGAAGTTTTGTTCAGTAAGTAAACTTACATCAGTGAGTTGAAAGAGAAGTTTTGTTCAGTAAGTAAACTTACATCAGTGAGTTGAAAGAGAAGTTTTGTTCAGTAAGTAAACTTACATCAGTGAGTTGAAAGAGAAGTTTTGTTCAGTAAGTAAACTTACATCAGTGAGTTGAAAGAGAAGTTTTGTTCAGTAAGTAAACTTACATCAGTGAGTTGAAAGAGAAGTTTTGTTCAGTAAGTAAACTTACATCAGTGAGTTGAAAGAGAAGTTTTGTTCAGTAAGTAAACTTACATCAGTGAGTTGAAAGAGAAGTTTTGTTCAGTAAGTAAACTTACATCAGTGAGTTGAAAGAGAAGTTTTGTTCAGTAAGTAAACTTACATCAGTGAGTTGAAAGAGAAGTTTTGTTCAGTAAGTAAGCTTACATCAGTGAGTTGAAAGAGAAGTTTTGTTCAGTAAGTAAGCTTACATCAGTGAGTTGAAAGAAGTTTTGTTCAGTAAGTAAGCTTACATCAGTGAGTTGAAAGACAAGTTTTGTTCAGTAAGTAAACTTACATCAGTGAGTTGAAAGAGAAGTTTTGTTCAGTAAGTTAACTTACATCAGTGAGTTGAAAGAGAAGTTTTGGTCAGTAAGTAAACTTACATCAGTGAGTTGAAAGAGAAGTTTTGTTCAGTAAGTTAACTTACATCAGTGAGTTGAAAGAGAAGTTTTGTTCAGTAAGTAAACTTACATCAGTGAGTTGAAAGAGAAGTTTTGTTCAGTAAGTTAACTTACATCAGTGAGTTGAAAGAGAAGTTTTGTTCAGTAAGTAAACTTACATCAGTGAGTTGAAAAAGCTCCTCAAACCCATCCACAGGAGGACATCTGTTACTTTCACAATCTTCACTGATAGCTTCTGGAATCTATTCACAAATAAGTGAAACATTTTTATTTACCATCACATTTTTTGGGGGGACCAAACACATAATATAATCGGTGAACACTCCAGTGACGCAATCATGGTCACTTGTAACTGTTGCATGCTCTACAAATGTCCCCAGGTAACGGGTCCGAATGTCGCTTTAATCACTGCAACTCAGAAAGCTACTCACGCCTCAAAAACTATCAGCGCCTGGGATGTCCCAGATATACTGTGTCCACTGCCATGCTAGTCAACCCTGGCCTTTTCTCTAGTAGTATTCTATTATCTCTAAAGTACTGTGGTGTTTAAAATAGTCAAAGCATTTCAATATTCAAGAAACAATAATTAAGTACCAGTCCACCCCGATAATCAGATTGTGAATAATGTCAGTAATTTCTTCTAGAAAAGAGAATGTAACATCAAACCGCAATTTCTTTCTCCATTATTTATTTTGCAGAGCATACACTTAAACAGTCCTTTTAATATTTGCACACCGATCCATGCTTCAAATACATACTACATCATAAGTAAAGCAAGACAAAAAGCAATCCCCTCACCCAACAATTCAGCAAAGGATGCAACCAGACATTAACAAAACATAAGTAAAATATACTCCATACATTTTTTACAGGCTCCCATAACTAATGAAATCCCCTGGCTGGGCCTTCCTCAGTTCCTATGAACTAGGCTTAGAATTTGTGAGGTACTGTCATGTGATATTCTTGTTATATGATCAAATCATCTGATCTGCTGTTTATACACATGTTCTTTGTCTCATTATTATTATATTGTAATATAAATTTGGCTGTGTCCCCACTTGCTTTTTCAAGTTTCTGTCTCTGAATATTACTTTTTAATTTGTTGAATTTCTTAGTTAATATTTCCTATCTCGTACATATGACAGCAGTATTAGCATGTCCAGTGGCTAATGTTCATTAGCATTACTTGAAAAAAAGATAATGAAACCATGAACTTCTGATCTTTACCATGTATTGTCATGTCATGAACAGCCAACCTAGTTGACAATTACCTGACTGAACAGGGCTTTGGAGAAAGATGGCCGAGGTAAAGATGAGTTCTTCACAGGCGAATACTTGATTGGTGAACATGTGTCCTCGCTAAACTGCTTGTCCTCAATTAAATTGCGGGATCGCTTGGGGGGCACACCTCTGGGAGCCTTGAAACTTGGGGAATCCTAATCAGATCAAAGAAGTCATAAAATCTATCTGTAATGAAAGATGTAAAAGGAATAAAGCATAATTCAAATTTCGTTAAATTCAGTAAAATTGAAAATGAGAGTAAATTTAAAATTTAAAAAAAATTCCATTAGTTTTAAAGAATATAATTTTGAAGAAGGAGAAATCAGCGTTCTCTTCATCAGCATTTACGAATACAACTCAAATGAGCTTGTTTCCGCTGCAAGACTGTTATAATTCTTTATCCTCGGCTAAAGGATATTTCTTTGTTGGGTATGCTCTTTACTTGGAAATGCAGATGACATTAATATCGATGGAGAAAATGAACTAGAAACTGTTAAAATACTGACTCTCTTAAAAGAATCAGCTTAGAAAATGGGACTAGTTATCAATCAAGATAGAATACATAAAAATAACTAGACAGGGAACAGATATAAACTCCGGCCACATACAAGTTGATAATATGAAAATCAAACGAACAAAAACATATAAGTACTTGGGTGCAAACTTCAACTGCTCCAACATGTTGGGAGAAGAAATACAATCAAGAATACAATATGCAAACAGTATATACTATGCCCTTCAAGATCTGCTAAAGTCAAAGTGTCTGTCTTGCAACACCAAGATCAAAATATATCAAGCGTTGATCAAACTAGTCGTTTTATTTAGCTCTAAAACTTGGAGCACAACTAAAAAAGATGAAGCCTTATTACAGATTTTCAACAAATCTTTGCACACATCCAAGATGAAAACAGCAGGAAATGGAGAGTGAGAAGCAATAAAAGAATTCATAATCTGTTGAAATCATCATTGATCACTGGCATCATGAAAGCTAATAGACTAAAACAGTTAGGGCAGACTAAAAGAATGTCAGATGACAGAGAAGTAAAAACTGTATTCACAAAGGATAGGATAAAAAGGATAGAAATTGTTGTAGACACCGAGGCAGTCCAAGAAGAAGATGGAGAGATAATGTCCAGACAGACCTGCAAACACTTGGTGTCACCAACTGGAAAGAGAAGGCCAACCAGAGAGATGAGTGGAGGCGGGTGAAATCTGCAGCATGAACCTCAAGGGCTCAGAATGCTGAAGAAGAAGAAGAAGAAAGGATATTTCACAGAAGATGTTATGCCAATTATTCCTCAAACTACATACACATCCTTTTATATACATACACAAACGAGAGTGACAGAGACAGACAGAGAGAAACAGAGAGTGAGAAAGACAGACTGAGAGAGAGGGGGGGGGGGGAAGGCAGAGAAGGAATAGTGGGATAAATCCCACATATTCTGTTTGTTGGGTGCTAAATAGTATTCACTTTTCCCCCCTCTCAGATTTTATTTCCACAGACTGATTCTCATCATTTGTAGAAGTAAATTATTTTAAAAAAATGCTCACAACAGAATTCCAGATATCATCAAGAGATGGCAATCTGTCAAAATTGTTCATGGAGGATGATGATGATGAAGTGGATGCCGCATCATCAAAACTGGAAACTGAACTTCTCTGTGACTTGAAAAGAGAAAAAAGAATTCAAAATCAAGGATGACTACCTACTTCCTGCAATTTATCTTCCAAAGGAGCAATTACTCTCAACCAAGTTATATCGAAATCACTTTCTATGTTTACTCTTACAAGGATGGTTTGCAGGTTTGTGATTTGGTTTACAGCTAGTGTGACATCTGCCCCTTTTGCCAAACAGACTATTTCAGTAAATCCCTAATTAATTGCCTTTTATCACATGCTTGTCAGAGGCAGCGGGTCTATTAATTTTCCTGCTAAAAATGGTGTCCCGGAACCCATATTATCTGTCGACTTGTTTATGATCAGTCACATTTCTTAGCAGGTAATTAAAAGAAAAGTCTTCCCCATGTGGGATGCAATTTTTTGTTTTTGTTTTATTTGAAGCCCCACCCTGGCTTCTGCAGAGGGCACTTTGTATCACCAGGTGTTTATCGCTTGTGTGATGTCCTGGTGGGGTACAACTGCCTACCTACCTTAGCAGGTAATGCTCTCTATGGCTGAGGCAGTCAGTCTCTGCAATCATCTGTCACCACTGCGTCCACACAAGCAGGGCAGAAAAGGGTCAAGGACCCCTAACATGGCAGTGGTGAATCAGGGATGTGATGCTAGACTCTTCGAGACCAATGGGCATTAGGTGGTTTATATCATCAACATTATGTCAGCCATCTTTACTTCCAAGGACACAGTGTGTACTTATTAAAGGTAATTTTTGTGCTTGATGCAGACTCAAACTCAAGACTTTCAGACAAACAATGCTGCATCTCGCCTCATGAATGGCAGGTTACAGTCTTTACTATTCTTTGTTTCCCAGTAACAGAAGACCCCAATAAAAAGTAGGGCCCTGTAAAACTTACACAGCTGGCAAGCTTTTCTATTACATATTTATCCACAGACAATGACTATCCATCTGTGGATATGCACCATTAAAGCCATTCACTTCTGAAGCAAAAAGCAGTTGCATCATTCCTAGCACATAATCAAATCTATTTCAACCTTAGGTATAACTTAAGGTTCTATGTTTCAAGCAAACTAAATTTTATTTCTGATATCTTCTGCAACATTGCTCAACTTGCCAATATCCAGCCACACAGAAACTTCAACTGCACACAAACCATCTTATCACCACTGCTGTTTATCACCTACATCGACAGTATATGCAAGAATGCCAAGCCCATGAATGAAGATCTTAGTAAGATAAACGAATTACTCTTTGCAGATGACCAGGCCTTGATAGCAGATACAGCCATGAAATTGCAACAACATCTAACATCCATGAATGAAGAATGTAAAACAAATAATATGAGAATCAACACTGAAAAGACAGAAGTAATGTCAATAGGAAAAAAGAAGACAGATCTAAACATAGCAATAGAATACAAAGGCATTAAACAGGCATCTGAGTTTAAATATCTGGGAACTACATTTACCGAAGATGGGAAATTGGATAAAGAAATTGACATTAGATGCAGTAAAGCAAACCAAGTATTGGGACAGCTAGCTCCCCCCTCTTACAGCATAAGACAATCCCAATCAGCACAAAGAGACATCTTATTCAAAGCATATTTATTCCAACTCTGTGCTAACAGTGCCAGACATGGTCACTCACAACAAACCATGAAAGAAAATTAGTAACCACGGAAATGAGATGTCTTAGAAGGGCTGTAGAAGTGACTATAAGAGATAAGATCAGGAATGAGATCATAAGAGAACAAGTCGGCACAGAACCAATTCTGGATTACATACAAAGACAATAAGTGAAATGGTTTGCCCACTTAGAGAGAATGCCTTGTGACACTGTACCATACAAAGCATACAAGGAAAGAGAAGAAGGACGTAGAGCACGAGGTAGACCAAGAACAAGATGGAAAGATAACATCAGAGAAACTCTACAACAGCACGATGTGCCTATGGTCGAGGCAGCCAGAAGAGCTAGAAACAGAACTTTATATCTCCCTCGACACCCTTAGCGGTAAAAGAGGAAGTGAAGAAGAAAAGAAGAGGACACAAACCATAAATTGTTTTCCTTGACTGCTCTCTTGCTCTACCCTACCACATAGTACCATCAATAATTGTCTTTCTCCTTCAACGCTATGCGCCAATGTATTCTAAATTTCACAGAAAGGTTATTGTGCTCAGCCAAACCAGTACATTTTTCTTAGTTCTATAGCCAGCATTCTAGTAAAAACCTGGAAAGAATTCCCCCTCCCCCTTAAGAATTATTTTTAACAACAGAAGCCTTGATGTTATTTTCATGTTACACTGGCTGTTTTAAACATAGCATTGCATTCTTGGTCGCTGCACATTTACCATCTACAGTTCTGTATATACTATCATTAATTATCAAGCTTGCCTCCAGATATGATGGTCATGGTTTGAATCACAACCATGATAACTTTTCTATGCATTGTTCCCGGCGCATAGGTCAAACCAAACTAAAACTGGTACCAGGAAATGTTACAGGAAGTAGATACAGCTTGTGATCTGTAACCTTAGTAACCACAATATTCGAGACATTTATTTTTAATTCTAATAATCTATCATTCTTCTTAGCATTTATCAGCTGTAAACTCCAGGGGAAAGTTCTGTTTGTTTGCCCACTTCTGGGCTTTATCCAGAACTCGAGTTTAGGCGTGCAAATCCATTTTACAGATCTGGCTTTTTAGGCAAACGTGTTGGTTTCTTGCCTCTCAGGCAGATGCACTGACTTTTACAACATGCTTGTCAAGGGAACAGTTAGGAGTCTATACCCCCTCCCCACCTCCCCGGGGCCTTTGATCCCCACAGATAGTCTACAAGATTAGTGTGTAAGTTATCTCGCAAAATGTCAACAGTTTCTAAACAGACCTGAAAATATAAAACATTTAATATAAAAAGAACCTACCCTATCACTTTCAAAACCCAGCCCACTGTCTTGTGAAGTTGCATCATCGGAGTAAAATTTACTCCTCCTGAGAGCAATAATGTTATCACAATTCTCGCTGGTCATGGTCTCATCAGAGTCATTGGAGCATCCATTGAGATTTCTGACACCTTCATCATCTTGTTCGCTCTTATCTTCATCTAGGAAATCAGTGGGACTGTCTAATCTCATCGTCGGAAGCTGCAGGTATACAGATAATTCCTGTGAGCATTTCACTAGACAAATTCAGAAACTGTTCTAAATATTTCATGCACATCTTGCTTCTATCATTTCCAGTTCTGGTAATATATTAACACTGTTTATATATTTGCATTATCTTCTTCCTCTTCTTCTTAGTGTTAACGGGCTACAAACTAGGCTACACCCCTAATTAGTCATCTCAATGTTGTCTCATCTCATCTTGGTCCTCTAGGACCATGAAGTATAGAAATTGTGAGTGCCCCATTTGTGTGCTTAGTATTCCCGTCTCTTATTTCGTGTCAATCATATACATGGCCTCTTGATTTCTACTTGGTCTATACACGGTTATATAAGGAGATTATGAACTTCTCAAGATAATTTCTGAATTAACAATTATAATCAAATCTGTGAAATCTTAACATTAAAAACACTTCTGCTAGACTAGACACTGCTGGAATGTAGCCCTGACTGCTCTGGAAAAGCCTCTGAATGAGATGAAGTAATATTTCTCTTGTAATCACAGACTGGTCATTGTCTAGTGTTTACAGCGTAAACGTGGCAGTTTCCAATAAGCTATAACAGTCGACACCAGCTGATAAGTTTTATGTTTAGCAACCACAAAACATGAGAGCCTGTCCTCCGGTCTAACAAACAGCCTAGTGACAATCTACAACATGACACTTATTTCACACATCCAGGTTCCAGTTATCTGCACTACCAATCACACGACCAAACCTTTAACTTCCATCGCTGACATGTACACGACAACAATCAGCACTGAATAGGACCTATCGGTATTGCCTTTCTCCCAGCCTTCATTGGGGATAGCTTTCGATGCAGACGATCAGCTTTCACACATTCCTGCTCTGGGGCCCTGTCGCAGGATGAATCCATTTTTGGCTATTCCCCCAGTTCTCCTGTGGTCCCACAAAGTTCACACATTCACAAGGTTTCACTCTCTCATGCTGACGTCACGTCTTGCAACCTAGGGTTTCCCTGATTCTAACAACCAGTCAAACCCTTTACTTTAATCCTCCAATTCATATCACTACAGATGAACAAGAGTGATGCATATGCTGTATCAGGAAAGGTGTAAACTAGTTTCTGGATAACACAACAGCGGTGGAGTCAGGAAACTTTCTGGGAGGTTGAGCAAACAGTTGTTAGTTGAGGTCTGGGTTTTTCCGCCATGCAGGGAGATATTTCTAGACTGATGCGTCTAGTAACAGGAAGTTGGTGATTATCCACCCAGGTCGGACGTGACTGCTGTAAGCAGGAAGTTGGTGATTATCCACCCAGGTCGGATGTGACCGCTGTAAGCAGGAAGATTGTGATCTGATTCTCGCTGAAGACAAGAGTCAATGAAAGTTGTATGTCTATTTGAAGGGGAAACACATTAATATACAATGTGGGAATTATCTGGCCAAGTTATTTTGCTTGCTCTTACAGTTTTCATATGCAGCGGAGTCTGTCGGGAACCTGACAAACTGTGTGGCATGCATGTGTGCACACAAAATAGCAACAACTATATTTATCTTCATGTGACAATACAAAAACTGTTTTTGTTGATTCTTGAGAAAGCCACAATGATGTCTCTATTATTGAGACAAGAGGGACTAGCTGTAAGTTCTATCGGACACACATTATTGACAATTTCCATGACCAAGCAGCACATCAGTAGAGATTGCCTAGAACAAGCTTTGTATCTTGATCAAATATGTTCCCACTCTACACTGCAGCAAGATTGGTCCTTGTCATGGAGTTGTCTCAGTTACAGGCATATTCCCTCACATTGTCTCCACTGGGAATACACATAAAGTAATAACCAACAAATGTGCCCTAAATAGTCAACACATGTCTAAATTAACATATGCATGAGATAGTCATAAAGACAAATTACTGTAACAAAGAAAACTTACAGGCTGAGAGTTGATTATCCTGAAAGCTATTGTCTTCTTCCTGTGAAAAATATTATATATAAATTGGTCAAAATATAGTATTTTCAAATATATATATATATATATATATATATATATATATATATTATTCAATATATATATATATATATATATATATATATATATATGGCTGTATGTAAAGATAAGGACAGTTTCATCAGGGCTGTGACAGCAGGTGCAGCAAGTTGCCAGTTGTACTGTTTGAATGATCGTGCTATGCTTGGGCTCCGGCCCATGATGATGCCCATTTGCACAATTTTAGCCCTGTGTAAACTTAGCTAAATGGCCCTGGTTTACCTGTCTAAAAACACAGATAAAAGAAAAGAGACAAAGAAAAATATCATGACAAAGAGCAAGCTGCGACGGATGGCAAAAGATAAAATCTTGGCTGAGTTGGTTAAAAGCCTCTGCTCTGATGGGGGCAGAGAGTGCAAAAGAAACATGTATATCGAAATGTTGACAATAAAGCTTAATTTTAAATAAATTATTAAGTCCACGTCACATTCTTCACTTTACAGTTTATCAAGCAAAATATTTTCAAATTTTGGGTCTCACCTCACTGAAAATGCCTCCAGTGGAATGTCTGGGTGATGAACTGCTTTGTAACGCTTCACATTTAGCCTTGGGGAGGTGGAAGAATAGTTATTACATATGATTTGATAAACATATTTGCAAACTCAATCACAGCTTTGGATTTTTTTTTTTTCTCAAGGGTATGTTGGGAAAGGAATAAGTAGACAGGCCACCCGGTTCTGAACTGATGCATGACAAGACAGATGTCAAGGCCCTTTGGTAGCAGGTGAATGTGGTCTGAAGAAGGATTGAACAGTGGTACCTGACCAACAGTCAACGCTTAGAGGAAATGCAAAGAGAGCATACAGTCCCGCTGCTACCTCTAGTGTTGGAACTCTGATCTGGCTGATGAAGATGGGAATTGAGCACTAATGGGAAAGTTCAAAGTGTTGTCATGGATGGTAAATTTTATACATTCAAATACACATATTATACCACACACTCATGCATGCATATACACACACGACATACTTATATATAAATTCACACAAACGACTTACTAACACATTTATAAATACAGGTACATTCACAAAAAAACTCACAAATATACATGACTTTTTTTAAATACATTTTTTTTAGAATTGTATGGGAAGCAAAGGCAGGGACAGTAACTGAGCACGCATGGGAATGCCCAATGTGCAGTGACTGTGATAACAGTAACTGCCAGGGACTTGATGTACCTTGTATACACTCCACAGCTATCAGGTGTGTGTGTGTGTCTTTGAGTATTACTGTATGTGTGTGAATGCTACTATGTGAGTGAGAGACTGAGTGAGTGAGAGAGAAAGAGAGGCTGACTGACTCAAGGTTGCAGACCGTCTCTGTTGTACTCCAATAGTTTCAACAGGTCCTTTACAAAGTGTCGAGTGAACAAAACCACTCAGGGTCAGTCTGACACTCAACCCCCCCATTGTATTCCTGTGTGCTATCAGATTATCACCGGCGGACACCATCCCCAAAGGTAATCAGACAGATAACCAGCCCAGTGTGGACATTAACGCCTGTGCACGGCCCCGGCCACAGGCTTCTGATAACAACAGTGATTCGCCAGTCTTGGGGTGTCCCACCCATTCTATTAATATCTCCCCCTTCATGCTTCTCCCTGTAGCCTTGGACTGCGCACTAGTTTTCCTCCTTTTCTGCGTCCACCAGTTGTAAATTGGTTGTGACTGCCAATGCTTGGGTTTTTATTTGATGCCATGCCTTAGTTTCAGAGTTTGGTATTTATGTGTGCTTTTTTTTTAAAAAATATATTCCTTTTATAAAAATGGGTAAATGTTTCGTTTTTTCTATTAAATTTGTACCAATCTTGGGGTTTTTTTTTTTTTTTGCTTGGGTTTCTTGGTCAGCTTAGCTTGGGTCTTGATCAAAATCCCTACACAAGTCTACACAACAATCCAGTAACTGTCGCCTAACTCAGACAATACCCAGAATAACCATACATTAACAAGTGAATTCAGACGTGAGCCAGGCGCCTTGTCTATACAACTGAGACAATAATCGAACACCACAAGGCTATGTTGCGTTTTTTTGCAGGAGAAAGGCTCACAAATGTCACCAGACGCCAGGCTTCATGGACAAACACGGCCTGTCGACAGGTTGAGGCTCGTCCTGTCGACAGGTGGGTGGTTATCAAGTATTAACCATTTGTGCCAGGGCTGCCAATAAGATTTTTTTTTTAAACCCAGCTTCGCTAAACAAAAACCCAAGCAATACACATGACCCCCCCCCCCCCCCCCAAAAAAAAACAAGATTGTTAAAATGTACAAAAGTTATCGTTACGAAACAAAACATTTACCACTTTTATATGAGGATATATTTAAAAACAAAAACCAGGTGTCAAATAAAAAAACAAAATTTAAAAAACCAGATCTGGGGGAAAAACCCAGCATTGGGAGCCCTAATTTGTTCATCCGCGTGTCCCAGTTAACTAATGACTACTTTAACTATAAGCCACGTGGTGCAGTGTCTAGCACGTTTGTCTGCCGACCTAGGGTAATGTGTTCGAATCCCCAGTAAGGGTACTATTTTTTACTGACTTCGCCAGTAAGGGTACTATTTTTTACTGACTTCGCCTCCCAGACTGACTTACCCTTAAGCTGGTAATAGGAAATGTTTTTAGAAAACACGTCGCTACCGAGTGTCGGTCTAAAAAAAAAAACACGATTCTAGCATCGTATGCATCAAAGACGTGCAAACCGTTCCTAGACATATATATCTTGAAATGGAGCATGCTCCGGAAACTAAACAATAAACCCTCCCGGTATTCACTACTGCAGTAGAGTATTGTGACCCAATTAGCCATTATCAAAAGAACGAACGAACACACTTTATTTTCAAAGGTTTACAAAGTGGGCACGCAGGCCCGTCAGACATTCGGCCTTTCTAAGCACTCATCTTTCAGAGTAGCACTGCCTGTTATCAATAATGCATGTTTATGTTTATAAACTCTTCTAGCTGGTTAATGTCCCAGTGCTGGGCAGCACATCTATGCCCACTCACATGGACATGATCAGTTTGCACGCTCCATTCGAGTCATAGATTCATTCAAAGTAATACCACAGCCCCATATTCTACGCGCTTTTTTCTTCAGCATAAAGCCATTCTTGGACTGAGACCGTGCGTTTACATCTCAAAATGCATTATTTATCTGTGACAATGTTGCTAGCCGACTTGGAGGTGTACCCATATGTCACTTGAAACAAAGAAAGGGGACTGTGAACATGTGGTATCCCTTATCAAAGTCACGATATTTGCTTCTAACGGTAGAGTGACAGACGGCCAGTTGATACACCTGCTACAGAAACGATCTAACCAAACGCACTTTACTATCTGAATGCAACAGGTGGAAATTCCCGCCAAACGCAAGTCGCGTGCTCGACCTCAGCACGCGACTGACACAGAGTTGACTTCTAGGTCAATTCAGCTCCGCAAGTAAGGGCTTCTTTATGAATGAAGGCAGAATACTCGTTCATTCAGACAGTACCCACCGCCGTCTTTCGAACTGCACCTGCCTGAGGTTACCAAATACCGTGGGGTGGGGGAGAGACAGAAACGACTGACTATGCGGTACGCCAGAGTTACAGCTGAAACGGCAATTATTTTTTTTTTCCAGATCGACGGTAGAGTCTACGGAAATATAAACGTGCCCTGTTAAGATAGTCAAATGACCGAAGATAGCTGAAGTGTCGTTGAAGAAAAGCAAATAAGCCGGCTTACAATCTCTTAGATAGATTCTATATGGCTGCAAACATGATGAGTTAAAATAACGCTGAACTTAAATTGCCTTATCTTCCGGTAAAAATGGACGCTAGGCGGGGGCACTGTTTGGAGCCGAGGCAGTTTTGCTTCATTTGTAGACTGGATATAGTTTCGTCGCCTAGCTTCTGAGTTAAATGCACGGCGTGACACTGTGAGCTGCAGATTTCATTTAGAATTTTTTTTCGACTGTGACCAACGTAGTGATGAGAATTGTAGATTCAGAAAATGGAGCGATGCCTGTCGTCGCAATGTTGGCGGTGCCCGTATGTGATTAAAATTAATCGCGTGGGCAACTGCTGATCTGTTGGTGACTTCTGCTACCATCAATGATGAACTGCATTTCTAATGTTGTACCGTATGCTTTAATGAGAGTGTATGCTAGATATGCTGAAACAGCAGTCTGTCAATCTTTCCACAAGGGACTGTGATAAACATTCTGTGTGTTTTTCGTTGGCACAGGAGCGGAGCAAAGATGGGGTGACCCGTTTGCTATGAAACAAACTAAGACTACCAGACTACCATCTTTTCCCACAATGGGGTCCTGGAACCCAAACGAGGAGGCACTGGATTGGTATCTGGCAAAGATCTTAAACTACGATCATCTTCATGTTGTGAGGAATAAAAGGCACCGAAATGTTGACTGCTCTGTCCGCTTAGCTATCAACGAGCAGCGATATATGAAGTGGCGTGAGGAGACTTGTCAGTAAACACTGGACTGCGAGTTAATCACTGTACTTTATCAGAGTAACCTATGACTCGATGATGTCAACTGAACACATGGTCACTGTCCAACTGATTACCCAATCTGACATCACTCACTGTATTTATCGTTATCTCGTTTGGGGTGTAGGCAGGTGGGTCTTTGCGTCTGATTTAGGACCGCGTGGCTAGTGGTGTCACCGCAGACTGCAGGTTATGAACTCTCGAAGGAAAAGAAAAATTCCTAACTCTTCCGAGAATTCGAACTCGGGTCTCGCGCACGAGAGCCTTGGGTTCTTAACCGCTCGGCCAGCCATTACCAGATCAATTAGCATAACAGGAATATAACTTTTTTTTAAACGTGCACGAATACACAGATAAATGTTTAGACCCAAGTCTTTGTATCAACCAACAAAAAATTAAACAAGCGACAACAGACCTCCCCTACGTTTTATAACCTGACAGCGCCACAACACTGTCTGCGGCCCTTTTCTTTTAGTTCACCTCGGGGACTGAGGTTTGCCGGGAAAAGTCCACTGGTATAGGGCTGTTAAGGTGTTAAATTAGCACAGACTAGTTGTAACCCTAATCACCTCCCCCCTTTTCCTTGGGAACTCCCCGACCACTCTCAAAGTCCCCTAGATAGGGTGAGTTAAAAGAAACCCGTCTGCTCATCGCAGCGAGTAAAAAAAAACCCAGTGGTGCCCGGCTAATACTAGTTATCTAGCAAAAACTGTGAGAGGGGACGATTAGTGTCAGGCGATGGCCCCACTCCGTGAGATGTTCGCCAACCAGTTGGGGAGATAATGTGTAGACAATGACGGCTCTTATCTACCCAATCACACTGAAGGCATGTGGGGCATTGTTCAGTGAACCGTGGCAAATTATGGCACCTTAAGGAAACAAAGAAGTTACGTTTACGTGTACAAAGATGTTCATGGCTGCTTTCTCAAATACTTAGACATCCGGTCTCTCTTTCCCCAATGCTTTGCATTCAATTGCTATGTGAAAGATGAGTATTTCAAAAGGGCCGAATGTAAGACGAAATATGAGTATTTCAAAGGGCCGAATGTAAGACAGGCAAGCGTGCCCTATTTGTGACTCTTCAGAAACAAAGTTATTTCGCTACTTCGCGCGCCCTTTCTCTCTCTCTCTCCCCCACACACACATAGTTTCAAGAACATACCTCTCTAATGTCGGGGAGTCCTCAAGCGGTGACCCCGAGAAACATCCTGAAAAACAAGGAGAGACAAAGTTCAGTATTCACTTCTGCACACACAACATGATTCAATGACGTTCGTCGCTAGGCCTACTTTCACTCCACACTGCTTGGTGGCAACCTCTTCACCGTCATTAAGCATTTGAAAACACAAATATTAAACCATACTTTAACAAAGTAAGTTGCATATCCTTTATAGGACGTTGCAGAGCCAACCCCAGCATTTTTTGGCTGTAGTGTTTAACCGCTATATTATATAAGGCACCCCCCCCCCCCCCCAGAGTAGGGGCTTTAAAATAAAAATGGTCTCCCATATTGGGACGGTATTAAAATAAGTTCCGGCACTTTGGCGTAGTACCAACGATAGAAGGGAAACGAATTTCACAAAAGGACAACATGAAAGGGCCGTCATTAGCTCAGCTTGAAAAGATCAGGTCTACGAAGTCACCTACAATACCTGGTGTAAGTTACATAAGATTAGCCCATACGACTTTATGCCAGACTAAACCTACGTGATGTACATCCATGGGACGTGACCCGTGACGGCGTGGGTAGACCTAATACTCTGAACAGCTGGAACAATTTTCTTCAGAGATGGCAAAGCCAAGAAAGTCTAACTGAAGAGGTGTACCAGACTAAGCAAAAGTATTCGGGCGTTACGTGCAGAGAAATGGGGTGGGTGTAAGGAGAGAGAGAGAGAGAAGAGACGTGTTATAGAAAGGTGAAGGTTAAGCTACAGACCCAGCAGACCTAAGCCGAGGAAAAAGAACTGGAGTTTGCCGCCGTCGCCGACAACCCGAACGCCTCCTTAACCTAGTTTTTATTTTAAAGGCAGTCCTCATAAAAGAATTTTTTTTTTTTAAACACACAAGCACACACAGATCCATCATTACATAGCTTTTTAAAGAAAGGTTATCACACTCAAATTACCACGCAGCAATAGTTATCAACACAAAACAGTGGGTTTTTGTTTTTTACCCACAAAGCATGCTGTAAAACATGTCCGGATAATAACTATGCAGCAAGCAGATGAGGCAGGTTTACAGTTTAAATGACACAAGAGATTGGCGGTTTATTATTTTATTTGGAACAAGCCAGGCAGGCAATGACATTCCAATAGTGGAGAGATTATTGTGCCCACCAGCCGGACTCTTCCTTTTATGCGTGCTTCTATAGTTCAATTGTTTTAGCAGTGTCAAGAAAAAAAAAAAACAAGACAACTGTTCGAATCGTCAGTTATAAGACACGTGAAAATATATTGGACACGCTGTGGGGGGGGGGGGAGGAAGGACAGAGAATCAGTAGACAGGTAGCCCCCTGTGTGGGTTCCGGGGCCCCATTGTGGGGAAAACAAGAATAGACCCACTGCCTCCCCAAAAGCATGTTGTAAGAGTCAACTAATTGGGGAGCTTCCTTTGAAGACGGAGTGTGTCTGCCGGAGAGGCAAGGAACCAACAGTCTGTATTCAAGAGAATGAGATCTGTAAAACTGATGCACACGCAACACTCAGGTTCTGGAGCAGGACTGCAGTTCAGTAGTAGACGAGCAACCAGAACCTTCCGCCAGAGTTTACAGCTGGTGAACGTGAAGAATGAAGAAGAAGAAGAAGTAGACAGGTAGCGAAATGGCAAACAAATAGAGGAAGAAACTAGGGCAACCAAGAAAAAGCCAGAAGAGGACAGTTGAGAGAGGTCAGTGGAGTTGAGCTAAATTCCATCCATGACATTGAAGGGACTGCACAAAACAGGACGATGTGGAAGATAAGTGTGACTATGGCGTTGAACCAGTTAAATTAGATGGGTCCAGAGTTCATTTTCAAAATGTACTGGGAATTTCTGCAGAAATGGAAAGCGGCGAATTAGAGAAACTGTCATCCACACTGACCCCGTATCCAGAATGTAAAGACTTCACACCCCCAACGGCGACAACTTCCCTTGATGCAGATTTGAACAGAACACCTTTGGGCTGGCAGGCACGAATTTAACACGAATCTCTCTACACCCTATGTCGCCATTGACATCAAAGGCATTGACGGTTGATCTACTGCTTTTCTGTGTAATTTTACATTCTTTGTCCATTATTCTTTCTACAGCTCTTCTCTAGGTTTCATTACGTCATCCACTCTCCCTTTTCCCATCGGTTCCGTATAAATAGTGTGGTTGTATGGTCTAAAATACAGGCTATCTATCCTCCGAATAGCGGTCCAAAATTATGGAGGCCGAAAATTTACCCTAACGGGGCCTGAGACACATGTAAAATGCGGACCTCTTCCAGCGACTACACAGCATACCGCGAAAAAGCTTCCACCGAGTTAAAGTCTCCGACGAGAGTATCTCCCGCGCCGCTACACTAGATGGCTGGGACTCACGAGCAGCAGCTACCGTATCTCATGCAGCTTCCTCAATTTTATTTGTTCGTGAGTCCAAGCCACCTAGTTTAGCCCCGCTCCGCACGTACCTCGGCGGTATGCTGTGTAGTCGCCGAAAGAGGTCCGCAATTTACATGTTACTGAGACCCTTTTATGGTATATTTTCGGCCTCGATAATTTGGGGCCGTTATTCGGAGCGGAAAATATGGAGCGATGGCATTAAACCTTACAGAAATGAACATCTTAATAGTTCTCTTGACACAGCTCATCAAAGAACATTACACTACCCCGACACTTCGCTGAGGTACAAGAGAAGAGGAAGAAGACATCCAGACGTTACTCTGGTAAGGTGTCATTCCGGTAGTTGTTCGGAGAGGAAGACAGTCAGCCAGGACGACTATTTTCTAGCGTATGCTCAGGCCAAACATCAGATCACATTGTGCGATGCTGGGCACACGAGGAACCCCGCTGACCAATCCTTGGGACAACAAGAGCTATCAACAAGTTACTATCACCAGTCTGCAAGACAATCATCTCCACTCTAAGGCGACGGCGGCGCTCTCAATGAATGCGGTTTTTCCCACACACAAAATGCTCGCGCTCACTTCCGGTGACCGCTACTTAAACTTTCAGTTCGCCGCGTAAACTATTTCCTGTATGATCACCGCTTTGTGACAAGTACGGTCCCTCCAGTATCAAATGTTCAAAGCATAACTTCCTTAAATAAGCGCTTGATAATTCCTCCTGTTATTTTACCGACTGAAACATCATCATCTTTTTTCTCTACTCCTGAAATGCCTGGCGGCGCCAGGCAAATAAGAGATCTTTATAACGGACCCTTTTGTTTGCTTAGTATATAGCACATTTTAGTCTCTGATATTTCTGCGGTTCCAGCTTCTGCGTGGTCGACTGAATGTAGGTACAATATTTTTTCAACACATCCCGAACAAAAGGAACCCCGGAATCCCCAAATAACACCCCTAGAATAAAAGACTTGACTGGGGACTCCCTTTCAATGGGGCGAGTTAAAATTACTGTACCCATAATGTATCTATGTCCATCCATATTTTGGGTGGCCACAATATCTGAAAAACGGGACATCCACTGCAAGTCAAGTCACCATTCTTATAAAAGGGACAACTGGTGCTATTTTTGGAGTACCGACGAAAACGCCGGGAAAAAGACCGTCTCGGTGAAAGCGGGACGTATGATTACCCTATTCATACATCATAAACCACACCGTTCCTAATAGACGCATACATTCCTCGCAACATCTGTGACCTGCGTTCTTTGTTACATTCGAACGCTAATCGTATTCTGTGCGACTCCGCGGACCTTTCCAGATTTCCACCTATCTGCCGCTAACTTCCATATTTCCGGCTGTCACAGGCCAAGGGTTTCCACAATGTGAGCAAAAATAACGATTGTTTAATTAAGGCAAGGGCAATCACCTGTCTTTGTGACCTTTTGTGCAGTCGACAGTTACATTATCATACTCTTAAAGTTAACCCCCCCCCCCAAAGTCGACAGGACGCACTTCACCAGCTTTATATATATATATATATATATATATATATATATATATATACACACACACACACACACGGTGCAATGAAGTGGGTCCTGTCGACTTTACACATACATATACACACACACATATATATACACACATATCCAGCGCCATGAAATCAGTAGTTCCGGCTACGATTCCCGGGGACCTCCGTTAAAAAAATGCACCTGTAAAACGACCCTATAACTGTCAGAGCGCTAGGCAAACAGCTTGACCTCTTCGCCACGCAGACATACTGCAAAACTTATTTTATTACCATTCTTTTTCTACACTGGAAGGGGTATGGGTGGAAAAATATAGGGGGGGGGGGGCTAGGGTATGTCTCTGCCCCAAACGCTGCCACTTGTATCGTATATAATATGTCTGCGCCTTTTTCCATGAAGTAACAATAAAAGAAATATATTGTCCAGTGTTAAAAACGAGCAATCAAATTTAGAGATTGAGAGTTTGGCTTGGGACGATTAACGGCATATGCCCCACTGGTGAGGAGGGGGCAAATAAGAATAAAGCGAGAAGCGGAGGTGGGGGGGGGCAATCGTATTCTTTCCTAATGTAAGAATCGCAGCATACGGCAATGCACGTGCCGGCGTCTCATTTATTCGTCACAGCGCATAATTATTAATCAATAATTTTTGCCAGGTCGCTGAAGTGGGACAACCGCGACGGGGGCGGATTACTGTAGTTTTCAGTTCAAATAAAACCATCTGCCTGGCCTGGTAGGGAATGCATTCACCCCCTGGCGGGCGGGCCATGAAAGGCATGCCAATAAAATCACGTTCAGCTGCAGATGCCCCGGTATCGCAGTGGGTCAGCAATGCAGGGAGCGTTCACCATTCAGTCAGTGAACCCGACAAGCTACTCTACAACAATGCCAGCCCCTATGATCCGAACCTTGGGGCTATTGTCAGCAGTTTCTCAATGTCGCTGAAGTTGCAGAAAGAAACCGCGGAAGGAAGGAACGAAAGGCGGGCTGAGTCTGAATTATTCTCACAGGAAATCAAATACGAGACGAGGGCAATACCCCCGTTGGGAAAAAAGAGCTGCTGAGACTAGGTACTTGCTGACTGAAACTATG